CCTGATGGAAACAATATTATGTTGACGCATTCGGAAAGCTTTTGTTAGTTCATATCTTGATGTGTGTTTTTCCAGGCTTTTGCTTAAAGATGTCACAACGCCTTTGCCAATAACAAATTTATAATCAAAGTATGCAAAACTAGACAAATCAGAAGTTAGAACTGAACAGGTTCGAAGTTATATTTGAAAGGCTATCGATGTTTTGAGAAGCATCTGTTCTAAGCTGGCCTACGGTTGTAGAAGATGCATAACACAGCCTATCACTCGTGATTTGATAAAGATGCGTGATCGAGCCCCTGCAGGTGTATGTGTCCATTAAAACTAATGAGGTTAGCTTCAATTTCGAATACTTACAGAACATGTTATTTTAGAGATTTCTTTACTGCATGAAAGTCTTGGTAACCCATGAGTATTATAACTACTATAACAGGTCTTTCACATCACTTCTTGATCCGATTATTTCTTTCATGTAATTAAATTACATCAAGCTTAGTCAATGATCATCACCGTGGTTGTAGACAACGCAAACACACAAATACAAACACGTGTATATTTTCAGTATTTTCGTTGTTAATAGTTCAGTCTTCAGTCTTCAGTAATAAGGATAGTAGGTTGATGAACCTGTGTTAATCCTGACACATTGCTTTCCAGTGAAGGTCCAGCTTTTCCTTGAAAGTATTCACTGATGGGGCTGATACCACTTGTTCGGGTAAGGCGTTCCAATGATTAACTACTCGATGAGAAAAACGGGATCCCACTTTAAGTTTATTAGATCGTGGTTTATGAACCTTCTTGCTATGACCTCGGAGATTATTAGTGCTGGAGGGAGCAAAAAAATAAGACATATTAACACCCAAATCATAATTAAAGATACGAAATGCCAGTATAAGGTCACCTCGTGTCCTACGATACGACAAGGGGAAAAGATTTAGGCGTTTTAAGCGCTCATCGTAAGGGGGTCTAGAAAGACCCTTCACTAATTTCGTTCCCACACGCTGGACACGCTCAAGGGAGTTAGTATCCTTTACCAGGCACGGGTTAGCTGCTTGGATACAGTACTCTAAATGTGGTCTAACATATATGGGATATAAAATTCGAAACGTTTCCTCGTCAAAAGATTTGAACGCTCGGCGAAGTGACCATAACGCACGAAAACCTTTGACAGCGGCTGCTTTGCAATGCGTAGTTGTTTTTAAATCATGACTTAATATTACTCCTAAGTCCTTATGCTCTTGAACGCATGGAAGAGGTTTACCCTCAATAGTGTAACGGTAACTATTACCGTGACCGATGTGCATTAGTACACTCTTCCTAGCATTGATTTCTAAGCCCCACTCTCGAGCCCACCTAACTAAATCGTCTAAGTCAGCTTGAAGATCCACATGATCAGCCGCACTTTTTATTGTTCTCCAGATTTTTACATCATCCGCAAACAATAATGTCGACGACCTAAGTAACGGCGGTAACTCATTAACGTAGAGAAGGAAGAGCAGAGGGCCTAAGATGGCGCCTTGGGGTACACCACTTTTGACCGGCTTCCAATCGGATAGCGTTCCGTTGACCCTAACTCTCTGTCTGCGGTCACATAAGAAATTTCCTATCCACTCATGTACAGTACCTATTATTCCGAAGCTCGTGAGCTTCTGCATAAGACCTACGTGTGAAACCTTGTCAAACGCTTTGTTAAAATCTATAAATATCACATCGACAGACAGACCGTTATCTAGGGCTGCTGTCCAATCCTCCCTCGCAATGAGCAAGTTAGTCAAGCATGAACGCTTGTTACGAAATCCGTGTTGCTCAGGAGCTAACAGATTGTGTAAATCTATGTGTCTTAGAAACCTAACCCGAATTATCTTTTCAAATAACTTAACGACTATGCTAGTTAGGCTGACAGGCCGGCAGTTACATACTATCTGTCGCTGACCGTCCTTAAATATAGGACTAACTATAGCGTCCTTCCAATCTCTAGGGAGTTGAGCGAGTGAGAGGGACATGTTGAAGAGTGTCGCAAGCAGTTTTGAAATAATATCCGCAAGAGATGACAGCAACCGTGGATGTGACCCGTCAGGGCCCGGTATCTTACCAGGTTTGAGGTTAGTTATCAATGGAAGGACAGTTTCCTCAGTCACCTGTACAGATTCAATGGTTGGTATCTCGGTGTAAGTGGGACAAGTATTTATTACAATAAACGTAGAGAAGACTTCGCTAAAACAGTCTGAAAAAGTCTCAGCTTTTGCTCGATCTGATTCAGTTAGTAATTCTGAATTTTCGTGTAACAGTAACGGGGGAATACCATCACTACGTTTCATTTGCCGTTTAACATACGAAAACAATCGTTTCGGACAAGTACGGCTATCATATACTACCTGTCGTTCGTAAGTGGTACGGGATTTGGCTATGGTTTTCTCACAGATATTACGGTATATTTGGTACTCACGCTTAAATGGTGCATGACCTGTCAACAAGAATAAGTCCCAGAAATGTTTCCTACGCTTTAACAGCTTCCGGGTTTCCTTATTAGTCCATTGAGGGCAATGTGATAGCTTACGTGCTGACCATGGGATAAACGGTGACGTTACGGACTCGAATGAAGCCTTAAACTTATTCCATTCATCTTCGATCAATCCATCCGCGTCGACCGACCAATCAGTCGAGATAGCACAGTTTCTGATTTCCGGAATATCAGCTCGCCAGATATTGGGACGGGGTGGAGCAGATACGAAGTGTATACCATGTGTCCTAAAATTAAAGTGAATTACAACGTGATCACTGTTCACTAGTGGAGGAAGGTGCTGGATATCAAAGATACCCTCACAGTGGTGGGTGAGGGCGAGGTCCAGCAGTGACGGATCATGTTGCAAATCAATATGTGTCGGTTTTGTGATACATTGTACAAGTGCACACTGAATAACGGTAGATAAAAGGTCGCTATCGAAACCACTACCTGGAGCTGTAAGCTCTATCCAGTTGATATGCGGTGCGTTGAAGTCCCCAATGATGAGACAACATTCTGCCATACTCCAAGAACAGACGTGTCTTAGGATGAAGTAGTCAGCAAGACAAGACGGACTACGGTATATTACCACTGTAGTCACTAACCCATTTCTAGATTTAATCTTACAACATGCAACCTCACATGTGCCACTGATATGAGCCTCCAATATGGTTGATTGTATACGAACGTGATCCCTAACGTATAATATTATACCTCCCCCTTTGCGACTTGAAACTCTATCACTTCTGATACAGATATAAACAGCAATGAAAGGAGAACAGTCTATATCAACGGTGAACTAAGTTTCTGTAACAACGATTATATCGGGACATAACTCTTGCACCATCAGACTTAGCTCGGACGTTTTATTTCTAAGACTACGAGCGTTCGTGTAGCACACACTTAAGGTGTTTTGGAAATCAATCGTTCTACCCATACAGGCCTCGGAAGCATTGGCTTCCAAGACCTGACTACCCGAAAACCCTTAATGGTAAGGTTATTTTCGCCATTTAATTTGCGAGTCCTCAACTCCGTAAGAGCATTCTTCCACTTGATTTGATCCTCAAGCGACCAATCTGGTCGAATACGGATATTTGAGGCACGAGTTTTTAGTGCGCTTTTCAATAATATGTCTCTTTCTTCAAAACTCCCGAGAACCAGCTTCAGGATTCTTCTTGGTTGGGTCTCGCCTCCAACCCACTTACCAAGCCGTATTACTTTTGTAATATGTACCCCTGAAACCTCTTCACGTAGTACATTCCTTACCACAGACTCCACTAACTGCAGGTCATGTGCATCTCTTCTAGCAGGGTCGTTATCTTTCGACTCCTCTAGATTCCAAATAATTAAACTAGGGAGGAGTTTAGCTTCTTTTGAAACTGTGTTCACAGCTTTCGACCGTGACGTTAGATCCTGTATTTTAACTACTGGTATCTTACGATTAGTTTTTATTTTAGCAGAGTCCTGGGAGTCAAGCGAATGACTCACAAAAATGTCAGACGAAGCTTTACTATGGGACTTTGGTGGATAGGTCTGGGAGTCCACCAAGGACTTACCAAGTAAACAGTCATTAGTTTAAACTATCTTTCCTACTCTTCTGCGTTTTCGCGTCATCCGTTTCCCATCAGTCGAAACGTCTACACTAGAACAACTCGGGACAGTAATTGTTTTGTCTGGGTCACCGGTTGCTGCTGTAGCAATATGGCCACCAACGTCTAATGACGTGTCACTCACTGATCGTTTCGGGGGAGAACGTTTAACTGCGGATTGCACAGGTAGATGTCTGACTTGCGCCGTGATAGCAATTACGACACTAACGCAATCTTTGCCATCAGTACCAATGTTATCAGTACAGCCCTCATCAACCTTCTTATTAGCCAACACCAGGAGACTAATTGCTTCCTGGATAAGCAATGTTTTGCTCGAGCAACAAAAACTACAAAGCCAATGAGAGTTTAGCTTTGAACACCTTTTATATGCAGTGGGGCTTAATCGGGTTCACATCTTATGGAACCACTTATTACACTCATCAGATTGCATCCCTTCATCCACGGGAAATAAGCAGTATGGTTGTCCACATTTATGAGTAGACCTAGCCATCTTGAAAATCAACTAGAACGGTGACAAAACAGGATATGTAAAAGGATTTTCAAACCTTAACTAAATAAATCAAGTAAAAGTCGACCAAGTATGCTTCGATGCAATAAATACACTAAAGCAAAATCGAAAAACTCAGCACAATATCACTTTAACTGGGGTGGATGCAATTAAAGTGTAAACAGTAGTTTTGATGCGTAATTTACGGTCAAAACAGTTAATTAACTCAACGAGAAAGAATACCACTGTCCTTTTAAATAGAGTGCGAATGTGTACCTGTGATGCAATTTTCTAGCTACTTCAACATTACCCTACAAGAAACTTCTAAAAGCCATATTACTGCGCAACAAATCCTCTTGACCTTAATGCTATTAACCCATCATTTTCGCAAAAGATTTTAGGAACTGTTCGTACTCATCAGCACACAATGATTTCTCGCATATGTGTTTAAATTGTCACTCCCTTCCGCGGGTTATATCAAACGTAAGCGTGTGTAGTGTAATTCTTTAGGACCTTATCTTTATTTAATAAATTAATTGAATCTCGGGAACGCCCTAGCCTTATTAATCCCTCTTGTTTTGTTTAGAATTATGGGCAATGCAGTGCATGCATCCACTCCCAGGGATGATGTATTTGCTGAGCCTGAAACAACACAATCGCAAGAGCGTCCGAACGTCGAAGGCCCTGGAACTGTCGAGAACATTCACAATAAAGCTCATGACATATTCCCCGTGCCTTTTGAGGGTGGTAGACTAGTTGTTAATAAGGGGCTTTCCCCCAACTTTCAAGTAAACCACTCTGTTTCACTAAATTCTGATGAACAATCGGGTTACCGTTTTGGTGTTACGTATGTCGGGCACAACAAAGTTTCAGATACAGAAAGTTATCCTGTTTTGATGAGTGAACTTCAGCCCAACGGGAATATGCAGGCCCAGATAATTCATCGAATGTTTCCTTCAGTATATGTTCGCTATATCGCTCAGCTCCAACGTCACCGCTTTGGGGGACAACAAGCTTGTGTAGAGTATCGCAAACCGAAAGTTCAAGCGTCTTTAACTCTTATCAATCCTGATATTGGTCGTGGTCAGTGTATGGCTGCACTAGATGTAATGCGTCAAATCACAAAACGATTAGCTCTTGGAAGTGCTTTCTTTTATCAGTGCTCTCCCCAGCTGCCTGCAGGGCAAGACGGTGTTTTTAGCTTTGGTGCGAAGTACACATCTTCGCATTGGCAAGGTGCTGCGACTATCCGACCTTGGCAAAGTTCGTTTCACAGTAGTTTCCATGTTCAAGTTGACGATAATCTTCAGTTGGCAGCAGAGTTTGAATCCAATTATCAACAACAATCAAATACTACCACTTTAGGTTACAAGTATGAAATTCCCAAAGCAAATGTCACCTTTAAAGCACAAATGGACTCTAACTGGAATATAGCTTCCTCTTTAGAAAAAAAATTAACTCCATTTCCTTTCACATTTTCTCTGTGTGCAATGTGCAACCAAGTAAAAGCCAAATACTCTTTTGGCGTTGGACTTATGGTTGGTTAGGATTTTTATGTTATTTTTTTTGTGCATATGCCAGGCTTTCCCCCCTCTAAGTGCACAATTTAGCTGCTAGATAATCTTCAAGTTCATGTGACCTTGCTGATCGTTTCTGTATATAGCCGATTATTTATTCCAATATGTAATCATTAGCTTGTAATACAAGCCCTAATTTCGCAGCTGTATTCCCGAGTGAGATTATGCTTGTTATAATTAACATTAGTCAGCCAGTCATGTATTGTGAATAAAATTAATACCTTTGTAAGCAGATTTTTAGTTTTTCCTTTATAAGTTGAGGTTGGCTTGTCATCACTCTTCAAAAGTAGAAATGTGATTTGTAAAATTCTTGGTTGCGAGTTCATGCGAAACCATAGCTTTCAGTATTTAGCTTTCAAGTCGAATATCTAGTTTTTCTGTTAATTCTATAAGTTAATTGTCGTAAATTCCCAACACATATATGGATCTAGTCTACTTTTTACGGTTATATTCGTCTGAGCTATATCTTATTGTTGGCAAAGCAGATTAGGAAGCTTTATCTCTATAGCGTGGGTTTGAACCTTAAATCGAAACCTGTTTTCGCTTGCAGATGTAGGCTGAAATCGTAGTATTGTCTCTATTTTCACCACCAAATTGGACTCACCTAAGCAACTATGAGAATGTTAGCTTGTATCAACTGATAATTTGTATTTAGATCACTTGAATGTCTATCATGATCCACTGTCGATATCTTTTGCAATTCAGTAACTATGGTTTCGTACTCGATTTAGCAACGCCTTTTATATTAGGACTAGACATTACATAGTCTGTCAAACTGAATTAGGTGAGGCGTAATCCAAACTTATTATTCTTAGTTGTATCAGCAACAAACATATATCGATAGCTTTTTGACTGCTTACTTCTGTAAAAATATTAAAACTGAACAGCTTTCTCCGTAATTTCTGATTCCTTTGCAGTTTATCAGTCTTAGCAACCTTTGTTAATTTTTCTGCAAAAGACAGTTTCCTCCTAAAATATCTTTGTCGGTTTCTAAGTATAAAACATTTTGTGGTTCGGGGTTTTTGTTCATTTTCTGTATTATCTCTTGGTTGTTGCTTAGCCTATTCTGTTGCCCAGTCAGGTTCATTATCTGCCAGTCTTAGTCAACGTGGAGCCTAGCATGGATGTGCGTCAACTCACTGCTCAGTATGGCTTCAATTAACTCTATGTATTTAGTTTGTTCTGGTTAGCAGGAAAACGCTTTCTTGAAATATAGTGGATGGGTAACAAAAAACGGATAAGTTGTTAGTGAGTCTATTAGCTTTTGTTACGAATCCAGATTAGATCAGAAATTAAAAGACCCATAAATTCCCATCACAATGACCCGAGATTTGCTGTTTTCTTAATGTTTATTCATAAATCATATGACTGTTGGTTATGCTCAGTAACACGTGTTTTCTAGTAGTTTCTAATAAAAAATGACTGCTTAGTAGCGTTGCATAAAGAATTGAGTGCTTAATTCAAAACTCGTCGGTGCCCATGGCATTTCCCAAAGATACTGCCTCCTGTTTCAGTACCAGAATAATGTTAACGAGTTGTTAGTCACACCTATAGAGATTTCGACAGCCAGGCGGTATTATTATAACGCGACTCAGCTGATACGCCATGCATAGTTGACAGTTCGAATTCAGTTAGTTCTCAATTTTTTATCTCCAGAAAAATCATCTAAAGATTAAGTTGTGACAGAAACACGTTACTTTTAACTAGGATTCCAAGTCACTGTAAGACAGAAAAATCATTTCAGTGGTAAGAAAGGTTTATAGCCATATATAATAGTAAGGCCTTGATTTACACAGTCAAATAGGTTCATCAGTTTGATTGTCCTCAGTGTCTCCAACCACTTGTATTTGAAGTCATAAATGCCTGTATCGGGAATCTTACACAACTTAGGCATTTTATTCTTGACTTAGAACTGCTTTGGTCTCACCAATCACAATGTACTCTAAACTAACATCGTGTAGTCTTACCTGATTACTGGAGTTGGAAATGTCACTTTTTCTGCACTACTCTGACTACCACTTGTTTTCGGATATGTGTAGATTAATTACAATATTCAGAAGTGTTTTACAGCTGAAGCGTGAAGTACGCTTCAACCTACTGCAAATATTTCGAAAGTTTATTGTGTATGGTATATTTCTACTCGTCACAAAACGAAGACATTCATGTGCAGATTTACGTCTCACACTTCAATCTTCATTGTTGTACAGTACAACCTGGCTGAAAGTAGGAATCACTCAGTTCTGTATGTAAACTTTGGTCTGTCCTTAGCTATGTGATTTCCAATTTAGTACACTAACTTATTCGACCAAACTAATGACGCATGCACCAGTACGAGCAACCTAGAAATCCGATTGGTCCCTTTTCCTTCTAGCCCTGCCTGGTAAGTCGAGAACGCCAATCTCATCCTCCGCTATATGAATCATATATTTTAAACATACTGCGTTTGTATACAAACAAATCAGAGCACATTGCACCATAAAATAGGAAATAACATTTGTACAAAATCAATACAAAAAGTGCCTGGTTGTGAGAGACTGTAACTAATAAATTGGGAATATCTCAAGAATAATAAATCGTATGATAATAGTCAATAGGTCAAATAAAAGCTTATAATAAAGGGAATACGAATATTCGTATAACATTAGTCCATAAGTAATTCCTAACGCTTACCGTTCATTTATTCTCGTCCGAATATAACAAACTTTTTTGTATACAAAATTCATGTACTAATAGTTGATAACCCTACCAACCTATTAAGTACTCGGTATGTTTGGAAGGCTTCAATTCGAGATCTCGACACTCCTTGTGTGGTTCGCTCAATTTGATACCATACACATCATCATTATCTTATTCAGCTTCCTGTACAATACTAGATAGCTGTAATGACTTTCCACAATTCTGATACGACTACTTATTGCAGTGGAATGAGGGCTGATATTACTCGACTCGAGGAAGGAAAATAAGACACTAAATGAATCTATAAATACATCAGTCACTGGTTCAAAACAAAATCAAAAACCACATTGAGATATCTGTCGTTTTAAATATCCGGTCGATAGGTGGATTTGACTACATAGGACAGGCAGCAGTTAATTTTCATGAGTCAATAATTTGATGTATGTATATAGTTTACAACATAAATTAACTTTTTTAGTTCACATATATAACCAAATTGCTGAGTTACATTTATGCTTCTTCCTGGCAGTAATATTCACTATACCTGAATATATTAACTAATTCGTTTTCGTCGATCCATCTTGGAGAAATCCTTCTGTAATTATAAGCCTTACTCTGAAAAAAGAATCCTTAGGATTTACTCATTTCTTCCTCATCGAATGAATACGTCATATTTACACAATATTGCAGCCCTTTAACTTCGCATACTAAATTTGATGAACTAAAAGTTGCTATCTGGAATTTTGCTATCCATACTACTTTTTCGTTTTTATTATTTAACTAACTTTCATGAACAAGGAAAGCTAGGCTCACTAATTTCTCGAAATCTCAATTCTGTATGTGTCTGCTGATTAATTTGAGCTGATGAACAACGAAAATAGATCATACGGACTTAAAATATATCCGTAGATATCCCGGAGAGTTACTCAACCTACGTCTTCAATTTGGCTACAAGCTGATAATGTTTGTATTGAATTCTGGGTGCCAATATTATTTGTTGATATGTTCTCACCATGTTAGTCTATTTCACAACACACTTCTGCGTATTACGTTTGACAGTTACCACGTCTGGGAAAAAGCTTGGTCAGGTTCAGTTACATCAATAAGTATTTCTAAGTAAAACTTATTGTTGTTTATTCGAATAACATGTTGAGGCCCTTGTCAAATATTCAACTTTTTCGTGGCCAAAAGATCACTACAGTATTTTGGAATGGCATTTATGTATGGTAGTTTTGAATTCTGACTATTTTCAAGAACGAGTTGTCAAAGATAATCAGCAGAGTGTATATCAATATATTATACATAATGGACGATTGATAAGTGCTCACGAACCCAACTTGTTGATGCAGGCTTGGAAATAAACTTATATTGAAAGATAATGCAAATGGCTAGAAAGAAATGATATTTTACTCTGATGAGACGATACTCATACGTATGTGGTATTGAACACCAAGTAAACCAGTTATTTAGGAATATGTTATGTCAGTTGGTTGTTAGGCTTTGTGACAATCCTTTATTCCAAGGTAGTTTAATATTTATACATGATTCGATGCCAGATACACATTTTTAGCGCGAGGTAATTTTTTCTTTTGACGTAATTTATTTCAGTTAACTAACACTTTATAACTTCAAGAAATTTGCTTAATTGGTTATTAATAGTTTCTGTAATACAGGTCATTTTCTCATACTATCTTATTTATTTATTTATTTGGACACATGAATATTGGTACAAGAGAGCGCCAATATATATGCGCCACACAAAACAATGAAAACTCGAGAGGAATACAAAGAAAGAAAAAAAAGCTAAGGAGCGCAACAAAAAAAGAGAGAACAATAACGAAGAGATTGGTGTAAGGTAATGTGCTAGTAATCAGGGAACGCAAAGGTACAATCGGAAGAAATCTTTCAGGTAAGGGAGACAGAACCACTTTTTATGAAGAAAGTAAAAGAAGGTTACAGCAGGATCGCCACTGGCTTCTATTCTGAGCCATATCTGATAACGTCTCTAGCCACTGTGTAGCACCATCTCTCAGACCCCAACCAGGAAGTCGTGAAGGACCAACACAAGCCAGTCCTTTGCAGCTTTCTTTCATGCCACGACACCATGTCATGCACTGACCACCTCTCCGCTTCTTCCAACCAGTCCCAGAGTCGGCAAATAATGCACGACGTGGAATCCTCTGGGACGACATTCGTAGAACATGTCCAAGCCACCAAAGTCGGTGTTTCAAGATGGTGACATCGATTGCATTATCATCTCTGTGCCCGAACACACGATGCCGAACCTCTGCATTACTGACATGGTGTTGCCACTGAATGTCAGCAATCCTTCGGAGACAGCGATGATCGAACACAGAGAGTCGTCTAACGTCCTCAACTCGGAGAGGCCAGGTTTCACAAGCATAGAGCAAAACTGCTCTCACCGACGCGTTGTAGATCCGGCCTTTTACGGTCAGACTAACATCACGAAGGCGCCATAGATGGCCCAGATTGGCATAAGCCGCTCTGGCTTTCACTATACGTGAATTAATCTCATCACTCACACCCCCACCAACA